TACTGGGAAAATAAAAACACTTATCTTCAGGGGAGCAAATTTTCCCATGCTGAGGGCTGCTCTTGAAGACTTAGAGTGGGAGGGAATATTTTCATCGAAAAACACAGAACAATAATGGGAATGTTTCAAAACAATTGTTTGCAACCATACGGCAAAATATATTCCAGTAAGCAATAAGTTTAAAAGGCTAAAAGTAAAACCCATGTGGCTGACATCCAATGTTAAAAAAGCCATATAGAATAAGAAAAGTGCGTTTAAACAATATAAAAATGAAGGAACACTGTCGTTATTTGAAAGCTACAAAGAATATAAGAAAATATGTAAAAATGAAATAAAGCTTGCAAAGATTCCAAACGAGCGACAGGTTGCACATGATTGCAAGATTAACCCCAAAAATTCTTTAAATATATTAATAGTAAAAAAAATCAGGTCAGAGCATGTTGGCCCCTTAAAAGATAACACAGAGTTGGTAACTGGGGACAATGAGAAGGCAAATCTATTAAATAAATACTTTCTTCAGCTCTGTGCACACCAAGGAACATGATATAACTCAAGTCCATAATGGGGATAGCAGTGCCATACCCTCTACTGAACCACAATGGCTGACTATTGATATGGTCCAGAAACAGATAGACAAAATTAAGGTGAATAAAGCACCTGGACCAGGCGGCTTACACCCACGTGTCCTCAAATAATTTAGCTGTGTAATTTCAAAGCCATTGCATCTAATTTTTAGAGACTCTCTAATGACTGGCTTGGTACCGATGTATTGGCGCAAGGCCAATGTGGTGCCTATATTTAAAAAGGGATCAAAGTCTTTACCAAGTAATTACAGACCTGTAAGTTTAACCTCAATAGTTGGGAAGATACTTGAAAGTTTGATCAAGGATCACATGCAATTGTTTTTGCTTGAAAATAATATCAGAAGCGATAGTCAGCACGGATTCACAAAAGACAGAAGTTGTTAAACAAACCTACTTTCTTTTTATGAGGAAGTGAGTAACAAATTGGACAGGGGAATGGCTGTGTATAGAGTATACTTGGACATTGTTAAAGCGTTTGGCACAGTTCCCCACATGCGGCTAATATATAAGTTAAGGTTAGTAGGTATAGAGTATTCAATCGATGCGTCTGGAGGAAAAGAGGTTTAACCTTTGCATACGGAAAGGATTCTTCACAGTTTGAGCTGTGAAAATGTGGAATGGGCTCCCCCAGGAGCTTGTTTTAGCTAGCTTGGTTAATTGTTTTAAAAAAACATCTGGATGTATTCCTAAATGCACAGCATATTACTGGATATTGAGTTTTTAGAGGTATATTAAGCAGCAGAGATTGTTGATCCAGGGAATATCCGATTGCCTTATGGGATCAGGAAGGAATTTTTTTCCCCTGTTGGAGCAAATTGAACCATGCTTTATAGGGTTTTTTTGCCTTCCTCTGGATCAACATTGGGTAATTGTGGGCATAGTGTTCTGTTTAGGCTTTTCTTCTTTTTTTTCCCGTATCTCTATAGGTTGGACTCGATGGACAATGTACCCTTATAGAGAAACCAATGTATGAAGTCCCAAAAAGTATATACCTGTTGACACCTACAAATTTTGAACACCATTACAGCCAGACACCAGATAGTTTCCAGTCGCATTTTAGCAGAACCTCCACAGAGACTGGAAACTATCTGGTGTCTGGCTGTAATGGTGTTCAAAATTTGTAGGTGTCAACCTGAAGAGCCTCAACGTAAAAAAAAATGACTGTCAACCAGAGTGTTACAGCAGTTTGTGCATTTTGTTGTACATCGAGTATAAAAAGAGTAAACAGCAGTCTACAAAAGAGTCCAAAGTCCAAATAAAAATGTACTGTAAAGACAAATGTTAATAGATGCACTCACAACTAGACTAGACTGTAGGGGTGAGCAACCTGAAACAAAACGGGAGCTTCAATCCACAATCAGTAGAGGTATTCTGCCCATGCAGAGCTGTACAATATAAATACACAATGATCAGAGAAATTATACTTTAAAATACAAAAATTTTAATTATAATCACTGAGGTCAATTTTACAAGAAATGGATGATGTATATAATAGTGTGCAAGGATATAGCATAAAAAAAAGACAGGAGGCAAGATATGAAAGAGTAATTGATGAAAGCAAAAAAAGGGAACAAATCCTGAAGTAGATATTTTTGAAATAAGAGAGAATGAGTCCCAAGAAGAGATGGGTTAGTGCAATGGAAGAAAAGTTAAGAGGCCAGGTAGTGAGAAGATAATACTGAAAAATGGCCTGGATGGGAAGGGGGTTTAACACCGCGGATGTCAACTGGTTAAAAGTATTGATTAGACTACTGTAGAGTAGAACAAAAAAAGTAGACCTCTACTTTCATTTTCTTTTTTGGTATTTAGTCCCCTTGTTTCGTGCATTAAAGAAACAAATGCGACCAAGCTGTCTTTACGCACTCTACGCTTCAGTGCCACCCTGAGCTTCCTCCTCCACCCAGTTCCACCAGTCCTCTTTGGGCAAAACAACATTCATGTCATTCTGCTCATTTCCTATAAGCCCAACCTGTGGTCTACACAGCCTTTCGGGGTGCGTCATCACACAGGTTGGGCTCATTACATGTACACTGCTCCATCCAGGAGAAATGCCTGCCCCCTGCCACTGAGGATGAAAAAAAAGAAAGCTCCTGTGATGTCACTGGACCAGATAGAAGACTGCAGCACAAAGGTATGTGTTTTCAGTTACTGGAATCAAAGCAGAACTCTGGGGAACATTTTTCTTAACCTTTTAAGTGGGGCTACCCCCGCACTGCAAGGATTAAGTGCTCATGTTAGTTAAACTCACCCAACTGGGCCGGCTTTTCTTAGATCGGTCACATCAGCCTTGCTCCACCTCCGGTGCAGTGATGGTGGCTTGTCTCTTGGTGTCCTCACATCCTATACACTGTGTGTTGGATGTAATGATGCAGAGGGCCTTGGACCTCTGCAGTGGAGGGGGAGAGAGGTGGAAGGGACCTGTGTAAGAGCAATACAGCAGGGAGGATCGGGTGAGTATAACTTTGTTATGTTTGAATCTAGAAAAAAATAAGTACTTAACCCTTGTAGTGCGGGAGGAGCTCCACTGCAATGGTTAAGAAAACATTAACCCAGAGTTCTGATTTAAGAAAAAATGAGGAGGCTGAAATGATAGCATACAAAAACAAGCTGACAGAACATTGAGTTGAAAGAATAAAAAGGAACACACAATATACAGTATTTGCATACTAGCCTGTCATATTTGGTGCAGTTTAGGAGACACATAGGGGTCTATTCACCAAGCTGCCGAAGGATCTGGCCGTAGCTTCGGCCGATCCTTCGGCTAGCTTCGGCCCCAGGACCCCTTCGGTTCAGTAGAACCGAAGGGGTGCTGTACGGGCTATTCACAATAGCCCGTACAGCTCCCGATCATGGCCGAGCAGCTCAGCCGAGCCGAACGCATATGCATCGGCTCGGCTGAGCCGTGCTGAAAGCCGAAGCTGGCCCAGCTTGGCATGCTTCTGACAGCTGGGCGGAGCCAGCTGCGATCTTACCGCTGGCTCCGGCCACTTGCAGTGAGACCAGCGTACCTGGTTACGTGCTAACCAGGGACACTGATCTCCAAACAGCAAACTCTCCCTGGCGCCCCGGGAGCCTCCTGCTCCCAGCCGCCAAGGAGAGAAACACTGCTGTGTCTTTTTTTCTTTATTCTGACACGAGCATGACAGAATAGAAAAAACAAAACAAAACGATTTTTCCCATTGAAAAGCATTGGGACATTAGTATGAACTATTTCAATTTGCAATAGCCAATAGTAAACTAGCATT